CTGTCTTACGCCTGGTAGTGTTGCTCTGTGGATGCCCGTGTGTAGAAGAGTTGATGAAGCTCAAGAAGATACTCAGGTTACACCTGACTTACCTTTGGTTGCATGAAAGCAACTATTGAAATTATTCCATGTATTAGAAAATGTAAATGTTGAGATTGTCTTTCAAAGTACAATGTGAATTCTAACCTATGTTTAATTGTGGCAGAAAATATGATCTGCAAAGGAAACTTTACCTATGTTATTTCTTTCTTTTGAAAGAATTTTCAGGTACTACTTTACCAGTACCTCATGTCTTTTCTGTTACAGCAGGTGAAAAATGAAGTAGCAATGTCAGTGCCACTAGAACCGATGCATCTTTCTTCACAGCTCTCAGTCCATAAAATAATTTTAAAAATAGTCTTCTGAATATTTACTATATGCCATAAAGTTACAAAAAGGGGACAAGCCTATTTCTTCCTCCCTTGCAGATTACTTTTAGTGTATTATTCCTTTTTAAGAAGTGGCTAGAGACGGCTGTCTAGAGGTAATCTGTTTTTTATTATAAACAGGGAACCTCTCTCCCCTCCCACCCTCAACAGGAAAAACACGTCCTGGGTCTTCCAGCAGGATCATTTTAAAGATTGTGGCTCAGCGACAGAGCTTCTGGTTCCACGCTGCCTACACGGGGGCCTGTGATAAGAGCCACACCTGCTGTGGCATCACTGACGTAGCCCGCGCAGAGCCGGAGCCCTGACATACCTGCGTCTTTCCGTGCCGACGCTGACCGGCTCTGACGCGGGGCGGGGGGCGAGTAGCCCGGCTGTTCACGCGACCAGCTTAGGCCAGACCGAGAGGATGGAAGTGAAGACTCCAAGCAGCGGAGAGGTATTTTCAGGGGCGGTCACTTCAGGGCATCTAACACTAGCGGGTAGTTTGTTACCGCAGCCTCCATTCACGGCTACTAGCAGTGGGCTAACGGTAGCAAAGTGGGGGGAACCCTGAGAAAAACTTACTACTGACATAGCTCCAACATGGCCAGTATCTGTTACAGTTTCAGGGTACAATTTTCTGTAATTTCTTTGGCAACAAAGGCAGCTTGAAAGGTTTCCTCTGCTACCCGCTGGTACCCAGCGCTTCAGAGAGGGCTTTTTCCTGCCTCCCCAGCCGTGTGCTCTGACAGCTGGTAGGACCCTGTGGCAAATCGCATTACTGAAACGGCTGGGGTTTTGGTGGGAGGTGTGGTGGGTTTTCTTGTCGTTTACAAACAACAAAGGTTGTGTGGAGTGTTTGTTTTTGTTTGCCTGGAACGTTTCAAGGGGCTGGTTTAGGCTAAAACCCCAGTAACCATGGATCAGCTGGGCAGGAAGAGGCGCAGACTGCAGCGCCGGCGTCTCTCTGCCTGCACCTCAGCTCCTGCCAGCGCTGCTGCTGAGGAAGACACAACGGGGCTGGGAAGGGGGGGGGAGCCGTTCTGATAAATAACGACCTGGTTTTGCACACCCAGGTTGCTGGAGTATTGGAGAAATCCTGGCAGTAAGTCAAACTTGTTCGTTTTGGACTTCAAAAGCAAATGGCAGTTTCGGCGGCCGGGTCCCTGCGGTTGCCATGTTGTTTGAAGTGCTGGATTAAAAGCTAGGTTTGGAGACTGACACTTTAAAAAAAAAACAGCATGTAACTGCTGTTACATGTAGTCTTGTTTTTTCTTACAACTATATGAAAACAACCTATGGTGGGGAAAGGTGTAGGAAAAAAAGCACCTGGTTTAGTGTTTTTACTTTCTCTTGCTTTCTGTGAAGGGTTAGCTATGTCTTTTACTCCCTACTTACTCGTGTACCAACCCAGACACTCTTGACTTTCTTCCATAACCTCTTCCAGTTAGCGTGACCTGGATGAAGCTGCATAATCCTCTCCCTTGTTCTTGAAAACTGGAGCTGAGTTAAAAGACTAGAGGAGGAGCACAAGACCCTTATGGACCCACCCTTCACTCCATCTCATTCCCAAGCACGGGGAGGACCTCTGATTAATTTCTGTTTCTTTCTCGAGGTGGTTCCCCCCCCTCCCTTCCTCCTGCAGTCAGATGCACGCTGCAAATGGCACAGACAGTGCCTCCTATTGTGGCTCAGGCTCAAGACTTCACATATGTAAAATGTGACTTGCAGCACTTTCTTTGAAGCCTAACCACAGCCAGGGAGCTGTAATTGCAGTCTTTGATTGCGCCGACTTCGCTTGTGGATTGGGCTTTGCTAGGGCTTGCCTTGCTTGGCCAGCCTTCAGCTCCAGCCCCCCAGTGAAGCCTTAGATGTGGGAAGCCTTCAGTCTCCGTAGCGCATGCCTGTGGTTTCTTGAAAAGAATCCTGATTTGACCTGTTTTATATCTGTAAGGCAACGCCATCATCATTTGTGGGTTTTAGGTATTATTTGGTTTATCAGCAGCAGAAGCCATTTCCAGCCCGTAGCCTTAAAGTGCAGCTGGGCACAGGCTGGGTTCTGGATGCTGGTTTCGGGACAGCCACTGTGTCCCTCGCTGTCCTGCGGCACTCGCTCAGAACTGAACAGATCTGGGGCTTCGCCGTCCCTGCCCGCCTGCAGCGTGGCAGTAGCACGTCCAGCCTGCCCGCGGGTGCGGGGGTGACTGGGCGCCGAGGGGGGCTGCGGACAGGAGGCAGGCGCTGCCAAAGCTGCGCTAGGAGCGAGAAGGACACGCTGGCCGCTGTGTGAAAAAGCTGAGGGCCAGAGCAAGGCCGCGGCCGTTATTTTAACCTCCTGACTTCAAAGACGGCTTGCTGGTAAGGGAAGGGGGGAGGAGGCAGGGAACCATCTCAACAGAAGAACATTTCATTTCCTTCAGCGAAGTAGACATTCCTGGCTGCTAATGGGGAGTAGCTCTGAATCACAGCGCTTGTATCGGACTGCTGTGAACTGCTGGCCTGGCGCCTCAAGGCCATTCCTCAACAGGAAGCTGAATGTTTTCGTGTAGGACTGAGAGGAAAACCTTCCCAGGAAGAGCAACCTGGACCAAACCTTTGAAAATCCGGGATGAAAAGGCACAAAATAAATATAAAGCTGCAGGGTGCTCTCCCCAGTGTTCCTCTGCTGTTTGCTTGGCCTCTTTCGTGCGCCTTGGAAAGGTAGAGCCCTGCGTCGCTCTTTGATCCGCATGTGTTACGGAGCACTGTGCTACTTTATGAAGGAAGAAAAAAAAAAAAGGCAGGAAGCTCAGAAGGCTTTTTTTAGTTGGGACTTGGGCTGGTTTTATGAGGAAATAGGAACTGAATTAGTCAACACAGACCACCTCTGTTGAAGCCACTGGTTTGCCAGTGGACTTTCAGCTGTACTGTTGAGGCCACAGTGGCTTTCGATGTCCTTTTGTGGCTACCAGCAGCAGGTGAAAATTACTCATTATGTATCGGGGAGGGTGGTATTTGGGAGCAGGGGAGAGTGTCCTTCAAATTAAAGCTATATAGGACAGTCTGATCTAAAGTTGTGCTTGTTCTTTCTAACTTACTTAGTCTGCAGCTAAACTTCTTCAGTTGCCCTCGGCTTTCCTTTCCACTAAAACAATGGTCACATGGGTGGCCTCTGAGGAGGGCTTGCGCTCACTGAAATCAAATGGTCCAAAATCTGCTTTGGAGGCTTTCTACCCTGGAGTACGTTAGCGGGTGCAACACTGTATTCAGGAGCTGTACTTGACCAGTGCGGGCAAGGTCCTTTGCGTTGTGATGGCTCACACGGAAGCTGCAGCAGACGGGCGGTGGGTGCCCAGTTATAAATGGCCCTGGTTTAAATGCTGCTGCTGGAATATTTGCTGATCAGTTCTGCTTGTGGCTCTTACAGGCTCAAGTAGTCTACGGATTACGATCAGTCTAACAGAAGTGTGACTTGGGGTTTCAACAACTCCATTTCTTCATAAAGTTGTTCTGTCTTGCCTTGCGTGAGTCAAGGTGCTGGCAGTGTATAATCTTTGTGTGACTAAGCACTCTGTGGTTCTTCTGGTGTAAATTCACTCACCTTCTCAACCAGACCGCACTCCTGTGCTAATTTTGGTCATTCGCAAAAGCTCTGCTCATTGAACCCTTTACTTGTTTGGCAGCTGAGTAGTACCTGCAGGCCTAGAGGTTAACGTGATTTGTTTGAGATACCAATAATCCTTAGACCGTTACTGGAGAGCATGTGTCCAGCTGTGGAAAAACGCCTGACTCATTGGACCATGGCTGGGTGGAGTCCCGTTAGAACCCAGTTGTCTGGGTCAGAAGGCCAGGGGTGATGGTTGAGTTAGCAGTTGCGTGAGTCAGCTGATGTAACCCAGAGACCTAATGATGAAGAACTGTTCCTGTCTGGATGACCAATATCTGTAGGGCTTGCACTGTTGGCCTTTTCACATGCTCTAAGAACATAAATCCTTCCGCGATCCTAGTGAACTTTACTGCCCATGGCGCTTACACAACTGGAAGATGTACCCTACCCTACCGAAGAGCAGAACGAACCCTCTTCAGTCGTGGGGATGCACCGTAGGGTCAGTGTCCGCACAGGCCTCCCTCACCCCATTCCTCTACCCAGCTGCTTCCAGAAGACAGCATTTCTTCATTTCTGCAGGGAATAGAGCTTGAGGCTCTGAATTAGAGGTTTAAGTGACCTCAACCACTGTAGTACCAAAGCCTGAGGATGTCCGGACTTATAACAGACATCTGGGTCAAGTGTTGTGGATAAATGAAATCCTCTACAAAAGGGAGTTGCTTCTGTAATGTGTTGAATGGCTAAATAGCTTTAAAAAACCCACTTTCTAGTTGGCGTGGACATCTACTTAAAATCGAAAATACTCTTCATAAATATTCTTGCAAACTTCAGGCAAGAGCAAACAGCAATACTCTGCACTTATCTTTGACATTGCAAATGCATATTCCACTAATACAGTTGTGCCACAGAGTTAGAGTGACTGTTTTCCACCTTCTTTGAAAAAATTTTTGTTTTTTTTAAAAAAAAAAAAGGCTTCATATAGTCTTTCTCTCTCCCCCCCCCCATAGGTGGGAAAAGAAATGCTTTCTCAACTTGCAAAGCAAAGGCGGCGACACCAGGACCCCTTCTGGAGATGGAAGCTTGTTAAACCCTAGGTGTGTCCTTCATCCACACAGACCACCCCCAAGGAGTCTGTCTAGGATGTCATTCACCCTGATGTCACTGCTAGAGACACTGAATCATAAAGACAATCACTGCCAAAATCCCTCACGATCACAAGGTCCAGCCCCGACATAAATAAAGCGAATGAGCTGCTGGGTCAGCAGAGCAGCTTTCGTCTTCACCCCGCCTCTGCCTTGCACTCTGAAGCCCCCGTCTCACCGTGCCCGCGCCCAGTCAGCAGACAAAGTCGCCTGGCTGCCTCTGCCTGCTTCAGCCAACAGAGTCACGCCACGGCTGCCCCACGCCGCGCCTCGAGGAATGGCATTTGCCTGGACCAGGATGACACCCTCAACCTTCTTTTTATTTAATGGTGCGACAGGATCAATTTTGGTTTTAGCTTTTTTTAAGAAACTTGAATGCTTTTTGTATTTTAACTTTTAGTTTGTCATTTCTTTGGTGTATATTTTACTAGGTATGAGCTTTTAAACAAATGTCAGAAATCTGAAATACTTTTTAAATAAAAGGGGGTTTTCTGTTGTTTTTTTTTTCTGACAGAGGAAAAACCTGTATGGAAAAAAGGTGGCTTTTTTGTTAAACTATTTGTAACAAATAGTGGCCTCTCAGTCTATGTAATACAGTGTCCTGTAGAACTAAATAAATGTAACAACAGTCAGCTGGTCAGTAGACACGTCAGTCTTGCATCATCTCTGTAAGCATAGGCAATACATCCAGCAGATCTGACTGCAGTGAGTTCTCCTTCTCACCCATTCCCCTTCTCCTTGTAAAAAGCCCAGCACTTGAATTATTACTTTGATTGTTCTGTATTTGTATCTGTTTTTGTTAGCCTGTTAGTGGGATTTTATGCCAGTTGTTGAAATGAGCATTGATGTACCCATTTTTTAAAATAGTAAGGCACAGCCTTTGCCAAAAATACTGTCAACCGTTTCTTTTTTTTTTTTTTGGTCATTCCAGTTTGAGTTATGTGCTGAGCATTTGTTTTTTAATAAAAGCTTTGTAATAAAACTGAAGTCAGTTGTCTGGCCTAAAGAAAATGAGAACCCCTCGAAGGTGGAAGCAAGCCCAGGAAGGCACAGTCACTGCTAAGGCTGAAGACTTCTGGCTCAGTCTTCTTCCCTTGTAGGAAATGCGATGTGTCCCTTCGGCTGCGTGCTCACCTGAAGTAAAGTCATTTTGGAAGACAACTTTCTTTTTCCTCCTAAAGGGAGCAGCAGTCTCTTCTTTTCATGCCAGGAGTCAGGAATGGGCAGGCTTGGTGCCCCCTTACGCGTCTCGGGTGGATTTGGCCCAAGTGGAAGTACCAGGGTCTGTGATCCCGCCCTCTGTCCTCAGTTTCTACCCAAGTCTTACTAAACGCAGTGGTGGCCTTAAGCTGATGATTACAAACGTGGATTCCCTTCTTTCTGGATGCAGTCCACACCCACACAAGGGGCAGAAGTCTACAGTTAAATTTCTTATAGCTGTGTAAATCGTCCCACAGTCAGGGACCGGAGCCGGCTGCGGAATCGGCTATGGAGGGCCTGGTTTCATGGTGTCAGATCCAACGGGTCGGCGTGGCCCTGCTGCCAGTGGTGCCCGTGGGACGCTGCGGCCGCAGCAAGCAGGTGTCTGAGTCTTTCAAGCCCGAAACACTACCAGCAACTTCTCTGACATCCCTTTCGTTCAGGGACTGGTATTCCACAGCGCTGGAAAACAGACACAGCTGCCTGACTTCTGCTAAAGGACTTCAGAAGGAAAAAACCCACCGTAGCCACAGACAGGCTATTCCTACGGTTTGTGAGCACCACTGCAAAAGACATACTATGAAGTGTACACCGAATCCATATACCTCGTATTCCAGCTCCTGACTCTTGTTTGCTGGGAGACTGGACTGAGTCGAGCGCCAGCTACAAGAAATTACATCGGTGAGTTACTGCCTAAGGAAGCTTTGTGAGTAGATTGTTTATAACTGACCCTTAAACTCCCTCTGTTGCATAAGAAATTTCATAATTTAAAAATGTTATAAAACAGCTTCCTCTTAAACCAGCATGCACTGCACACAAACCGAACTGTATGACTGTAACCAGCATATTAGTTCTTGCAATATTTATTTCTAGCAACTAGTGATTATGTTAAACAAAAAAAAAAAAACCAAAAAAAAAACAAAAAACCAAACCAACAAGTGACCAGGCAAGGGAACGCCCTCAGATGGCAGGAGACAAGACCTCTGAGAGAGCAGCAACTGTGTACTGGAGTTTTGAAGACTGGCCTGTGTTTCCAGTCCAGTCAATTATCGCAGCCTTTGCTGGAAACCTGTCTGGTTTTCGGTTTGGGTTTTTAAAGGTAAAAAAGCAAGTACTTTAGTGCAGTAATTGTTCTAAATCAAGGATTACTGCAGCGAGTTCTGTAAATTACATGTTCCAAAGATAATAGTTCTTTTTAAAACTTTTGAAAGCATGACCACTTTATTTAGCCTTTTTAATGGCTATTTAAAAGGACACTTAACCATTTTGCAAAAAAAAGTTCCCAGTAGAGGTGTTAGCCCGATGTAGCACACTGTCCCAATATGTAGCGAACAGTTAGGCCTGTCTTAAGGACGAAAGGCCTTTCGGCTCTAACAGTGAAGGAGAAAAGGAATTCAGGAGCTAAAAATAACATCTCTGCTGTTAACATACAGTGAGCAAGCACCATGTGTTGGGCTCATTCACAGATCAAAGCCTTTTCACATATAGCAACTATGGGAAAGGTTAACTAATGTGCAAGGCTCAGGATGCTCCTGTGAGAGGACCTGAAACAGAGCAACCGTGCTATCCTGGGATCCCCGTGACCTGGGCCAGTGCCCGCTCCTGCCCCAGCTGCTGACTGGCGTTTGTTCCTGTGGGACTGAGCGAGCAGGTTGACCTGGGCCCTCACTGCACCGCGCCAGCTTGGCAGCGGAGACAGAGGAGCTAGTGAAAGCGGCCTAGTGGTGATGGTGTTACCCTGGCAGTAAGGTCAGGTTTAAATCCTTGTGATGCCAAATACAGGATTCCAGGTGAGACTCAAAAATGACACCTAAATTCCTGATGGGCAATGAAGGCAGAAGTCAGTATCTAGCCATGTCTCTCTTGGGTGCCTGAGGAGATGATTACCCTGCATTGCCCACAGAAAATGTCTTTACGGATTTAAATGCTCCTACCTAATAGCTGAGTTAATTATCCAGATGCTTCTGCACAAGCATTCATAAACCCACGCTCTCCCTCCACGCTTCATTCCATGCGTGCGCCAAGACCAGTTCTGCACAGATCACAGTACAGGTAGTCCCATCCATAAACACAGCAGGTACCCTAGCAGCTAGGAAACATGTGTCCTTCCCGCTCTTCTCACCAAAAAAACAGCAAAGGGCAAAGACACAGAACAGGGCAGCTGAGCCAGGGTTATTTACAGCTCATCAGGCCAACATCACAGGATGGTCAGGCTCCTCAGACTGCTGGATCACCGGGAGCAGAGCCACTTCCCCTCCGTTACATAAAGGAACAATGCCCCAGGCTAACTTTGGCCTCTTAACAGAGCAAGTGATGACATATTCACTACTGGTGCTTATAGGGACTCGCCAGCTCTAGAGAATTGTCGTTTCCGCTTTGGATTAGCCAACAGAAAAGTCAGTAAGTTAGCTGTGCAAGTGACAGCTCGGTGGTGAGGTCAACTTGCGGCAAGTGTGGGACCTCAAGGGCCCAATCCTTGCTCCCGGCTGTAGGACAGTGGGACCCGGAGCGTCAGTCATCTGCACTCCTTTGAAACCACAACAGTGCGCAAGGCTTTGATTCAACCATTCCCTGCTTCCTGATGGCCTCCTGCTCTGGTCTACATGGCAGCTAATTAGGTTGAAGCAAGACAGGCAGAAAATGAAGGACACTGCAGGGACTAAGAAATGCCCAGTAACCTCTCCAGCGACATCACTGCAGTTTGCTCCCTCGCACTCACACGGGGGCTGACGTGCCAGGCACCCCCCCTCCAGCATGAGGGCCCAGCACCAAGTAGCACACTACAGGGGAGGGAAGCGATTCCATGAATAGCCAGAAGCCTGTCGGCTGTGAACACCTTTCTCCTAAGGTGGGTCGGTGACAAAACTACTGGGCTAAGAAGGAAGTTAGCCAAAAACCTAGACAGTGTGCCCAAACACAGTCATTTTTCCACATGACAGGCCAGGAAGAGAACCTCTGGATTAATGTATGGATTTACCCTGTGAGTCTCCTCATAGATACAAAGATCGGCTTCAGAAAGCAAGCAAGCAAACAAGCATCTGCAGCCCCAGGGAAACGGACGCGTCTGCCAGAAATACAGGAAACGAACCCCTTAACCGCCAGCTTTCAGCCAGGTCAAAGCAAGGACTAAAATTCTATTCCCCGTCCGCCCAGGTACGTACTCACACCTTCAGGCCATGGGCTTTAGGTGATGTCTTCTCCCTGGCTGGCAGACTCCTCCTGCAACAGCTGTAACTTCAGAGCCACAGAAGCAGCAGCTCCTTGGCTGAGATAGCAGTCACTGCTTGCCTGGTCTGGGAGACTAAGGGCATCTTCCTGTGAATGATGTGCCGCAAAACGCATTTCGATAAACTCACCCACCCCACCTCCCAGAAACCCAGCACATACAAATCAGTGACAGGTTTGTTCATCCCTCTCAGCTATGGAAAACCGACACAAGCCAGCAGAGCTAGGAGAAAAATTTCCATCCGCCTCATACCAGAAGAGCAAACTCACCCAAGAACTGGTCTGTCCTGTTCACTGTGCTGCGAAAAGGTAACCACAACAAAACAGAATCTTCAGCAGAGTAAGAACAACAACATACTCTACAACTTAATGGTCAAAACACTTAGAGAGGCAACTCTTTGAATTTGGACTAATTTCCTACAGCTAAGAAAACTGGCTAAAAAATCCTGCAGCATATTGATTAGACTGAGGGAGGACCACCTCTGTGTCTTCTCCTAAGAGAGAACAAGCCACAGAAACAAGGACTCAGATCTTGACAAAGCAAAATGCTGTACAGGGGTGAGGTTTTCTTAGCACCTGCCTGTGAAAGTGAAGTGGGCAATAAAAGACGAGACAGTACACACCAGAACGTGGCAACAGCTATACCCATTGAATGAGATGAAGTTTCCACGCCTGAGATGGACAAGATTCTTAAAATCTAGTCGCTGTGTTTGCTACCCTGAAATGTGTTTCATTCTTACTCCTCTTCTGTGAAATCTGTTTTATTCTGTCACGATTAACATCATCAGCAACACCTTCTTCCTCTCCACTCAGTCCTAAATTAGATAGGCAGTAATCATAGTTGCAAACAAACCATGCCTGAGGAATCACGGAATGGCCACTGCTCTTTTCCGGTAAAAACCTGCCATCTCAAACTCTACCCAACTTTTTAGTAAAATGTCCTGAAAGAATTCACAATCAAAACACTTTAACGTGAGATCCCTCAACAAATTTAACAACAAGTGGTTTTAGTCAGAAAATTCAGATTGTATAAAGAAGATTTTGACATATGGTCTAAAAGTTTCCCGTTGTGTGGCACTGGTATAACTGTGTGACTTGGAAATAAAACCACTCACAGCACTCAATTAACCACCGAGCAGTCTAGTTCTACCTATGCTGGTGTTCTAAAGCAGTTACTCACACCTTTTTTTTTTTTTAAGTGTGAATTTATTGAAATTACTTACTGAAACAGAATAGCAAGCAGTTTCTCAGTATCTAAGCAGTTTATTCCCTTCTTCCTCAGGTCCACTCGATGTCACCCCTGCTCTAGGGTTTCCCCATCCTCCCACCGCTCTCTTGCGTTTGACTGACCCCTCTGCTCCAGCTCTGTCCTGACGGGCAGCAGGGGCTTCCCTGCTGATGGCACAGCACTGCTACGTCCTCTTGCCCACTGGGCAGCAGCCTCCCCTTTCCAGTGACCTCATGCTGGGCTTCCTATGAACATAAAAAGATGGACTTAAATCTAGCACAGGTCTAACACCTACAGTGGATCTTCATTCAGTCCAGTTTGGAAATAAA